CTTATACCTACATGTGAAACACAAAACAGAATGATCGCTTTTCCCAATTGGTGCATTATACTCCAAATTCTTAATTAGATCAATATCTTAAATTAGCAACAAATCAAGTATATTAGATCTCTGGTTACAACGATACCTTGTTGGACATTTAACAAGTTGGCAAAGAAATAAATCATTTACACAATTTATAAATTTACTTTCCAAAGATTTTGAACTGATGAAGAGAAACTTTACAAGAATTTACATCAGTCCTAACATAACCACAAACTCCTCTACAGCTCTTAACCATGAAGTTTTCAGTGAAATGGTTATAATTTTCAATATTTAATTCAGAAATAAAATATTTTTCTTTTATATTTTTAGGATTTGTCTCAGTAAGCAACATAACATCATAGTTATAAGTCTTGGCCAAAAACTTTATCTCCTTAAATTTGTTAAATAATGAATCAATATTAGAATACAAAACATTTATTGTGGAATTTATATTTTTTTCTGCAATCTCACGACTCTCATACTCCTCGGCAGTCTTCTTGCCCTGTAAATGTAGCCCCCCTTATCTAAATTTTCTTTTTGTTTAGCCTCTGCAACTAATTGCTTAACTTGCTCTCTCTGACTTTCAAACTCCCTTAAATTCAACCTGTATCGTATTCAGTTTTCTCAATTTTTCCATTATCATATTTTTAACTCTCCTTTCCTTGAAGATCACCAAGATTTTCTCAGACCGCATGATCCTTATCATGGTGGCTTAATCATATTCTTTAGATCAAATTCCAAGTTCAAAAAGATTGACCTACCAGGTTTTTCTACATTTGAGGTTTTGGCTGTTAGGTTTGTTATGAATGGTAAAGAATGGGTGTTGGTTGCTTCATATAGAACGGGTTCGGAGCAGATAAAGACTTTGTTTTCCAATGAGTTGGTTTCATTGCTTGAACATATTTCAGTACTAACCTCACATTTCTTGCTGACTGGTGATTTCAATGTACATGTTGAAAAGAATGATAACGTTCACACTATCAGCCTGCTGGAAATTTTCGATATGTTTTAGATGATTAATAATATTAATGAACCAACAGATAATCTTGAGGGCACTCTTGACCTGATTATTAACTCAATAGAATTTCCTATTGGTACATGTAAAGTTTTTCCAAGTGGTGCGGATTCTGACCATAGTTTGATACATGTGAACATAATGATGACAAAGAGAAAGCTACCAAATTAGTGAGATTTTGGAAACATTTGGATGAGAGTAGGTTTGCTAAAATGATTGCCAACTCTATTTTGTCGAGACCATGTCTAAGTAATGATAATAATGATTGAGTTTGCTGAAAGTCACGGGTTTTGTTTACTGAACACATATTTTAGAAAGAGGTTGGAACATCTCATACCATACAAAAGTGGACCATCAGCCACGCAAATTGATTTTTTCGCTGTCAAGCAACAACACCGAAGGTATTCAAAAATGTCAAAGTTATACCTGGCGAATCATGTGTCGCCCAACATATATAACATATATTCTTTTGCTGTAACTAAAATGCTTTACTATTCATTAATATACTCTTACTTGATATTTTTTTTTTCTTTTGGGGGCAAGAGTTCGTGTTGTCACTTACCATTGATAGTTAAATGTCAGAGATATTTTCTGAAAATTCTCTATAACCTAAAAAAATTTGACCATGTTTCTCATTTGTTTGATCTGAGCAAAACACTTATAATTACTATTTTATATAAATTTTGTTTACTTATATTTTTTTATAAATTATATATAAATAATGTTTCGCCCAATGCCAAAAAAGTCATTTTGAGCTTTAAATCTAACAAGAGTGGGCATCTTAGACACAATAATGAATTTTATTTGCCAGTTATAAGAACTAAATTATTTTAAAATAGCACCCTAATATCTGGCCTAAGATTGTGGAATAAGTTACCACGAGATATTCATCAACTTACCTGCTTTTCAAAAATCAAGTCCAGTGTCCGCACCCTATATATTTCCATATCTCTTTAATCTTTTGTCTTACATAGTTTTTCTTCTTTTTTTAAATTTAACTTAAATAAAAAATAATAATAATTCTTAAATAATATCTTTGTTATTATTTAATGTTTCTCAACAATGATCTAGTTGTTTTCATATTTCTCAGTATATTTAACATTTATTATTTTAAATTTGTTAATTATATTGTTATAGTAATTTTGACATTTAATCTTTGCCTGAACAGTTTTTAATTTTGTTGATATTTTAGTTACTTTACAAGCTCTGTATACGGGCTTTTGATTTACTTAATAAATGGTTTATGGTTTATATATATATTTTTTACAATATTCTATAAATTCTACCGAATGTTTGGCGTTAATATGTTTGTAGTTCGTTTTCTTCGATTTTTCTCACTAAGTTTTTTGGTGAACGTTTAGTTTATTAGAATTCAAAATAAACTTATTTTTCGAATTCATGCTGCAGATAGGGCCATATTCCGAATGAATCATCGTCAGTGCTCCTAGTTGCAT